TTCTAAAAATAGAATTATTGTCCCATATCATGGGGACAACCCCAATACTAGAAATGGCGCGCTTACGGTCTCCGTCCCCGATTATGGCTCCTGATCAAATGCAAAAGTCGTATGCAATGTACATTGTCATAAGTCGCATTCAAGCTTAATATTTGCATGATGGCGTCATTTGACTACAACTACCTTGACTTCGAGTAGTCCCTCTTTCGCTTGGTCCGTCGTGCGTGACGCGAAGAAAACCTCGAGAAAAATATGGCCGCGTGCTTCTCGCCCCCAGGAGTTCGCGCGGCCATTTTTTTCTCGCGGTTTCCTTTCGCGTCACGCACGACAGACCAAGCGAAAGAGGGACTACTAACTCGTAGTCTAACAACTACCAGAATCCTTCACCTTGTCTGTTTCTTATGCTAATCAGGGCAACTGTTATTTAAACCCCAATGGAAACTCAAAATTTAAATAATAAAGAAAAAACGAAAGGAATTCTGATAGTTGTCGTTAAATGACGACAACGTGCAAATCTGCGCTTCCTGATTATCGCAGGAAAACGGAAGCAAAAATAAACAAGAAGTAAGTTCAAGCAAATCCTTTTGGTTGTCAATTTGTGCTATGTTAACTTCGCCCGGAGAGAGAGACAAAATATCTTTCGTGACGGAAACTGAAACTTCGTGACAGAAATTGAAATATTTTGTCCCGTCGCGCCACATTGAAATCGGAGAAAGAGGAACAAAATGGCCGGATTTGAAGTTGGTGAAAGTACTACAATTAACTCCAGGTACATGAGCGAAGTGACCGCTTCTTACAATTCTTTCGACGAGACAAACCCTCTCCTTACAGGGCTTGATCGAGAATCTGGCTCACCGGAAGTCATAAGACCTTGTTACTACTTATTACAAATTCTGGGCATGTGGAAACCCAAAGATGGAAAATTTGCATTCACGTGGCGTGTTTATCGCCTGTTTGTCTACATCTTTTGGCTGGGATGTCTTGCAGCTATCATGTGTCTGGATTTTATACACTATGGCTTTGACAAGAGTAATATTCACGTCACAGAGATTATAAACAGTGTCGGTACATGTTTCGTTTTCTTGTGCCCGTTTATGTTCACTCTTTATTATTTTAAACGCGGGCAGTACGTCGAACTTGTTTTCAGCGTGCAAAACGTTTCTCATGAGTGGAAACAGAAGTTGAGCCGAATTTCCCGTTGGTACACCTTCATGTCTGTTATTTTATGGGGTCTTTGTGCCGCATTTTTCATGGTTCACTGGTTTCCGTTCTTCTCCAAATGGTGGCATTATGGGATTTACGTTCCCGCTGTCGTTTATATTTCAGGTTGGTGGAGCACATGGTTAAGCTTATATGGATTTGTTTGCCACGTTCACAGTCTACAAATTGACACTGTTGTAGAAGAAATGAAGTCAAGGGAACGCAAACCAACGACCATTCTACAAAAACACTTCCAATTACAAACTTCCCTGGAACGAACACAGAAGGATTTTTTTCTCATTATTTCATTAGCTTTAGCTTATCACGCCCTGGATTTAATCATTTTTAGCTTTGCTTATTTCAGTTCAGCCTTTGGCAAAGATTATCCCATGTGGCAATACATCGGTACAGTACTTTTTGACCTCATCAGCATTATATTTAAGCTGTATCCACCAGCCATAGTTGCAGCAGCATCACATCGCTTAGTGGCACAGGCCTCTAAAAGATGTCAGTCACAGTTGACCCCCTTTACGACAGAGCTCCCTATTGAAGATATGCAACTATTTCAGTACATGGCTTGGCGCGAGTCGGACATGGGACTAAAGATTCTCGGAATTCGCATCACTGTGGAACTAGCGATCAAAATCCTTATGACCATTAGCACAGCTGCGATATCTTTTGTAGCTTTTGTTATACCCAAGTTGAATAAGTAAACATTTTAACCTCCCAACAATGGCCACCTTTCTACAATGGTCAGTACACTTTGTCTCCAGTGTGGCCGCTGCACGGAGGTTCGACGGTATCTTACGCGACGGTCGTGACGGAAACTGTCACTTTGTGACGGAAACTGAAATTTCGTGACAGATTTTGTCCCGTCCACAGGCGGCCCAAGCTGTGAGATGATCACCTTATTGTTGCATAACAGTGCTGCTATTACGCAAGATAATCATCTCGCATCTGGAGTTTGGACCGCCCGTGTCCTGTCGCGCCTTTTAGAGACGAACGAAAGAGAAACAAAATGATTGGATTTGAAGCTAGTGGAAGTTCCACCATCAACTCCAGGTTCAAGAGCGCAGTGACCTCTTCATACTCCTCTTACGATGAAAGAAACCCTCTCCTTGCTGTACGTGATCGAGAATCTGGCTCACCGGAAGTGATAAGACCTTGCTACTACTTGTTGCAGATTCTGGGCATGTGGAAACCTCAAAACGGAAAATTTGGATTCACCTGGCGTGTTTATCGTAGTTTTGTGTGTATCTTGTGGCTGGGATGTCTTGCAGCTATCATGTGTCTGGATTTTGTGCACTACGGCTTTGATAAAGAAAAGATTCATGAAAGAGAGATTATAAACAGTGTTTGCACATGCCTGAATTTCTTGTGTCCGTTCGTGTTTACTTTGTATTATTTCAAACACGGAAGCTATGTCGAACTCGTTTTCAGTGTGCAAAATGTTTCACAAGAGTGGAAAGAAAAGCTGAACCGAATTTCACGATGGTACACCCTGGCTTCAGTTTGTCTCTGGGGACTTTGCGTCACGTTTCTCATGTTTCACTGGTTTCCGTTCTTCTCCAAATGGTGGCATTATGGTCTATACGTTCCCGCTGTTGTTTATATTTCAGGTTGGTGGAGCACATGGTTAAGCTTATATGGATTTGTTTGCCACGTTCACAGTCTACAAATTGACACTGTTGTAGAAGAAATGAAGTCAAGAGAATACAAACCAACAACCATTCTACAAAAACACTTCCAATTACAAACTTCCCTGGAACGAACACAGAAGGATTTTAATCTCATTATTTCATTGGCTCTAGCATACCACGCCCTGGATCTGATCATTTTTAGCTTTGCTTATTTTAGTTCAGCCTTTGGCAAAGATTATCCGATATGGCAATACATTGGTGCTGTACTTTTTGATCTCATTAGCATTATATTTAAGCTGTATCCACCGGCCATAGTTGCAGCAGCATCACATCGCTTAGTGGCACAGGCCTCTAAAAGATGTCAGTCGCAGTTAGCCCCCTTAACGACCGATCTCCCTTTTGAAGATATGCAACTATTTCAGTACATGGCTTGGCGTGAGTCAGACATGGGACTAAAGATTCTTGGAATTCGCATCACTGTGGAACTAGCAATGAAAATCCTTATGACCATTAGCACAGCTGCGATATCATTTGTAGCTTTTGTTATTCCCAAGTTGAATAAGTAAATAAGTGAATTTTATAATATGGCTAGCTCTGTGAGCAGACAAGATAAGTGAAATGTTGTGCTGTGATTGGCTAGCCAATTAGCCTGAGAACACAGAGTGACGTATCTCCGGCTGTTGCTAGTTGTCTCCTGAGACAAGCAATAGCTGGAAATACATCTGTGTTAACAGGCTAGTAGCCAATCACATTTAACCCCAGTTGAAGAAGAAAATTGCCAATCTATGAATCAATAACTATATTCCAGTATTATACTGGTTAACATTTACCTTTGATAAAAGACTTTCTTTTGTGTTGGTGAGGGAATTAAGTTCTTTATCAAGCTCTTCAATTTGCCTGCAAATTTAAAAACCGTATTTGCTGAAAAACTTTATAACACAGAAATGTCTGTAGTTGTTATGATTTCCTTAAAAAGAGCTACATGTGTAGACAGACTGCATAAATACATGTTTTCCTAAGTAGTAAAGTGATTGAGTATTAAATAAATATGTGTGGTTATGCCTTTGTGGTCACTCATAGATAATAGACAAAAACATCAGCACTAATGGCATAGCATGGCCAGAGCTCTCCTCTGCAGAGGCCACCATAATTATAGGCTGGCAGTTTAGAGGCCAGGGAGAGAGAACAAAGGAAGCGCATGGAAAATGCTGGGAATGGGAAGGAGAAAAGAAGGGCTCCAACCTTTTCACTCTTCCTCTACAGGGGAGAGACTGAACACAAGTAATTCCACTCCCCCCTGGACGGGATGCTAGACCAATGTACAATGTAGCCCCCTCCCCCCACCCCCGCCCAGAATTTATACACCTGGGCAGAGAGAGACAGTATGAGAGAGACAGGATCTCGCACAAGAACACAAAAACTGACTCCAGACAAGGCTCAAATACAGACTTCTTAAGCTGGAGTTCAAAGTGTTAGCCATTAAACATCAGTACTGCACTGCATGTCAGGTCATTGGTACAAATTCTTGTGCCACAAGAACATTGTGCCACAAAGTAAGAAGACCTTTCAGCTGCCATTTTTCCAGTGCCTTCATGATCGTGTTATTACTAGTCTGTTATTCATAACAGATGTGAAATACTTCAAAAACACAACAACTCACTCACTTTAGAGTTTCCTGTCTTTCTGGATGTTGGCTTATGACTTTAGCAAGAGCATCATATTCTAAACAAGAAATCAAATGAATTTGTACATGTATTAATAATTAACAGAAACGTAATTACATACATGATGCAACTGGAGTAATATTTTTGCATTGCCAGTATTTGTCTCGATCTTCCTCTGTCCAAACTGTTCCTTGTTGCGTTATCAAACAATTCTATATAGTGAAACCTGTATTAAGGTGACCCCATATTAAGCGGACACCCTCTATTAAGTGCACACCAGCTTAAGGGCCAAAATTTTCTTCCCACATTTACTGTAAAATAAACCTGCATTCAGCGGACACCTCTATTAAATAGACACAGACAGTCACCAATATTAAACCATTTTGTTGCACAAAACCTGCAATAAGTGGACACTTTAAGGCTCATTTTACTTCTAAAGGTTCAGCTGAGACTCCTTAACATTGTCCAGCGATATCATTTTAAAGCTAAATGATTATTCCAGATTGATGCATTGATCGACTGGACTTTGTACTATGAGCAGTCTTGGCTAGTCTTTGATCTCACACTGTGTTACACTGTGTTACAAAAGGGTTAATAATTAACTATTATTGCACAACATACTAGAACCTGTTTTGAACGGACACCCTGTATTAAGCGGACACTAGTGAGGGTCCCAAGAGTGTCCGCTTAATACAGGTTTCACTGTACTATTCTTCCTTCACAAGCCACCTATTCAAGGTGTCCTTTCAATAGGACATAATAACATAGAGCAGAATCTTGACTTCAAACCCTTGATGTTTTGAACCTCTCAATATAAATAAGTTGAACCAAAAGTTGTTTCCCTCCCCTCAGTCAAACATGAATTTTGTCCACAACATCTTGACTTTCCAGATTTTTCAAACAGATTTTTGTTTCCCTTGGTCAGGCTCGAAAAACTGAAATTTTACTCCAACATACTTATACATTTGTACTGTTTACAAAAAGGAGGCCTCTTATTTTGTAACAGAACTGGTAGCAACTGGTAGCGACTGAGCAGAGTAATCACATTGAGAGTATTATAAATTGTTCACCAGTTGTACAATACAGCAGCAAATGTAATTTTAAACCCATTTGTTTCATAATGATTTAGTGTCACCTAGTTTTCCTACTATTAGTAATACCTTGTCTATTTCTCCTTATCCTTTTCGCCTGCTGTAGTTCAGTCTTGCAAGATGCAATTTCTTCGTAGGCGTGTGAAATACTCTGCTCTGAAACAAAAGGGAATATCACATTACCTACTGTAAAACAACATATGAAACCATATCAAGTTGTTGTTTTGAATGTTGACTAGATCAAATTTCCAATTGAAGGGGTGCCTGGAAAAAAAGCCCTAAGTGACTTGATAAATTATTGCTAGACTCTCCTTCCAATTTGCCTTCTAATTCCTTTTGAAACACAAGCAGTGTTTGACATTACTTCAACAGTCACTTGTTTGTCTCTTGATTTTGAGAGAAGTGCTTATTCATAAGATCCTGTTAGGGATGATTATGCATGTCCCTTGTCTGAATTTCAAAGATTTTGTGTTGTTGTTTCAGACAGTCCTCACATTCTGTTATGATTTCAATGCAAGTTATGTCTTTTACTGTCATTTTATCCGTCTCCATGTCACTGTTTCAATGTTGTGTTACATGTCAGAATTTATCTTCACAGGGCTTCATACGTGATCTAATAAATTTGACAAGACTCAATCTTGTTGAGCCAACTTCCTAAAATGTGTCTTCCGTGACAATTTCATCTTACTTGCACTTACCAATTTCACTGTAAATCTTCTCATAGTTTTGTGTTTCTAGTTCATTCATCTCAAAAACAGTCTGGGTTTTTCCAATCGCAAATTCACACTGAGCAAGCTGCACTAGCATTTTCTGATATGTGGCATCACTGAAAAAATTTACAAAAGAAAACTTAACACAGTGTCTGAAAATCATTGAGACTAGTACAAAGAATGTGGCTTGGGTAAAGAGAGTAATAGGCATGTTTAAAACATGAAATGGCAGACAAAATGGCACTACAGATAAGAGTCAATGTGTAACACAATGTGAGTAACAGTTAACCCTTACAATATTATTAAAAGCTTTTCACTGTTAATTCAATCATGATAATTTGGCTAACCTGAGAGCAAATTAGGCTGACTATGGTGCCGTTTTGTCATTTTGCCATTTTATGTTTCAGCAATCAAAGAAAATTGAACCCCTTAGAACTTTGTGGGGAATTGGATTCAAACAAATCAAACCCAATTGAACCAGGGGTTCCATTAATGGCTGGGCACCAGGAAAATTGACTGGCTGTGTGAGAATTACTTTTCCCTCCTGGTATGACTATCTGGAAGAAAGTTCTTCTTATAAAGAAGTTCAGTTCTGACAAAACAATTTGCCTACATGTAAACCAGTTACCCTCCTGCTAAAAATGTCAATGAAACCCCTGATCAAACTCAATCTATTAGACTGGGTTTGACTGAGATTGTCAACCAGATACATTCAAACACAATACAGTGGACTGCATTTGATTTTGTTCAGTGAATAAATTCGCTTGAACAAAGATCATGTCATGTGGTCTGCCTAGCATAGCTATTCAATATCAATCTGTGGACTGAGTTTGATTTAGTTCAGCAATTGAACCAAATCGGACACTGAACTTTGTGTAAGTTCAATTTCCCAACCAATCAAATTCAATTAGACAAATCAAACAATCAAACCCAATCAAACTCAGTCCATTAGAGTTCAGCAACCAAACTCAGTTGAACACATTCCAATAGACTGCGTTCGATTGTGTTCGGTAAATAATTCGCATGAACAAAGACTTGTGTCTTTTGATGCGAAATCTCTGTTCACCAGTATTCCACTTCAATTAGCACTACAGTGTACCGAGACTGCTATACAACAATCTACTGTTAAACTACTGTTACCAACAGAAGACATCATGGACTTACTGAACCTTTGCCTTACGTCGACTTACTTTCAGTATAATGGTAAACACTACAAACAGTTGCATGGAACAGCCATGGGGTCGCCTGTTTCTGTTGTTGTTGCAGAAATTGTAATGCAACATGCGGAGGAACACGCCCTTGCAACTTGCCAACAAACGATACCGCTTTGGTTACGCTATGTTGACAACACCTTTACCGCTGTTCACAGAGACGAAATTGACGATTTTCACAACCACCTTAACGAACAGAATGACGACATCCAGTTTACTAAAGAGATAGAAGAAAATGGAAAACTCCCTTTTCTAGACAACAATGAACTGCAAACGACAGTGTACAGAAAACCAACGCCTACTGACAGATTACTTGACGAATCATCCTACAACCCGACTTCACACAAAGCCACGACTATTAAGACTTTGACGAGACGAGAATAACTAGTTTGTGACACACTGGACAGCTTACATGATGAAAACAGATACCTTGAACGTGTTTTTCACAAAAACAACTACAATACTGACTTTATTAGATGAAACATTTACCGACCTACTGAAGCTGATGCAGTGAACAGGAACCCAGCACCTGTTACTACAGTGACTATACCTTACATTAAGGGCACTTCTGAGCCCATCTCACAGATCCTACAGCCCTACAACATCCGTGTAGCCCACAAACTTTCAACCATGTTACGACACTTACCGACCAACTTTAAAGACAGGGATGAACATAACAACAGACAGGGAGCAGTTTACAAGATCAAATGCTCTGACTGCCAAGCTTCCTACATTGGTGAGACTGGCAGAAATCTTAATACTAGACTGACTGAACACGAATGAGCCACGATAAATGGTGATGCCAATAATCACATTGCTGTACATCATCAATTGACTAACCACAACATTGACTGGGACTCTGCTCAGTGCTTAACCTACAGTACAAACTATTTTCAACGACTGACTATGGAAAGCTGGTACACTAACCTATAACAAACGCCTCTTAACAGATGTCAACAACTACCAGCACCTTACAAACGACTTATCCATGATGGAAACGAAACCGACAAACAGACTTCTAACAGACCAACTTAATTTGACTAACAATGGACGGACCAAAAACCAACCAATTTGACTAACAATAGATGGATCAAAACTGACCAATGACTGATGACAAACTTAACACGAGTCTGTCGGCCAATACAATCATGGCTAAACTGACCAATCACGTTCAACTGACCAGACTTACAACATCATCGACTGACAAACATTATTCACTTGACTCTGAAGATGACTTCCACTCAGGTTGTCGAAATGTCAGTCACCAACAACAGTTCTTTTCAGAACTACCCTCACCCGGACGATCAAACTATACGAACTACTAACAAAGATCATGTTGTGTGGTCTCAAAAGCATGAAAAGCAAGTGTTATACCGAAGTATACTTAACCCAAGCCTCGAAACCAATTTGACAAAAAACAAGAGTTCAGAAATCAAACGTTTGATTGAGTTCGATTGTCGAATTTTTCTTGTGTAAGTTCGATTACCAAACTCAATCGAACTCAATCCATGGATTGAGTTCGAATGAAATTCATTTCAACTGGGTTCAACTGACTACATGTATGCCTGGGGCAAAGGAGCTAATGAGCCAGCTCGTTTGGATAAAGGTTAAAAGTTGCCCTGTATTCTGTAGTTTTGCCGATTCGTGTTACGAATTGAGCGAATAAAGATGGATAGAAATATATATTTTTCATCATTTGAGAAAGGGTAACCTGAAAAAACTGACCCCCAGTCCGCAGACCCCCACTATGGACCGGGTCCGTGGACTACCCTACAAACCCCCTCTACGGACCACCCCAAAATAGAGTAAAAATAATAAATAAAGATTTTGCTTATGGGTTGTCTAATAGATTACTCATGTCGGGGAAATTTCCAGTGTTACACTGTACAAATGGACTTGGGATTTTAACACCCCCCCCCNAAAAAAAAAAATGCATAAAAGCTGTTTCCAGCGTAAGGAGATGCCGAAAGCAAAAAGAAGGAAAGTTCTTACCTTTCATTCGTGGCTCAATCTGGCTATGGAAGATGTGTTTTTAGGTTGTTTAAGCTTGTTTATATCTGTAATTCCGCTGAGTAAATTGTGATTTCGCCAACACGAGTAACATCCCGCAACTGAAATATTTATTTAATATTTTCATTCCATTTTGGGGGTCTGTAGATGGGGTCCGTAGGGGTAGTCCGTCGACCCGTCCATAGGTAGTCCGCGGACCCGGTCCGTGGTGGGGGTCGCGGACCGGGGGTCAGTGTTTTCGGGTTACCCTTTGAGAAACGCTCAAGCTTACCTATCTTCCTCAGCGCTCGTGGCATTACACCATTTCAAAAAGGTCCTAAGAAGGGCTGTTATTCTGCGATCATCGCCTGCACCTTCACCGTCAATCAACAACCTCTTTCGTATTATCTCATCTTAAAACAGAAAACACACAATCAATTTATTCTCGACAGCGTAAAATACAAAGTTGTTAAGTTCAAATTCACTTACCATCAGTCGCCATTTTGAAACTAAATGAATGACACAAAAGAACTGGGTCCGATTTTCTAATTTCAATTCATATATGCGACAGCGATGAGTCCCCAGACATTTACGTCATCAATGGCTTCAATAACCTCCCTAAACGTAGTCTTGAGGAATATTTTAGAAGAGGAACTTGCTCATGAATCTGACATGCTGCCAGTAGAACATTGTAAGATCTTGCTGCTCTCCGAAAATTCTTCATCTTTCTTGTCTACAGAGATAGGAAAATATCCCAGGTACCCCCTTTATATGGAAATTTCCAAAAAGTTATATGAATGGATGGAAAATGATGATTTTCCAGTTAAAAGTGAAGCTTGTGGCTTACTTACCGAAGGAGATTTTGTTGCAAAAAGAAAAGAAATTGCTGAAAAAGTTTCTCCGATCTTGGCAGCTCTCAAGAAGACCTGGAAAGAGATTACTGATACGGAAAAATCTCTCCAATTAATGTCAATTATTAGAATTCTTGGTCCCAGAGGACTGCTTGATTTGTTGAATATCCGTCGCACCCAAGGGAGTGTTGATATTTTTCCACCTTCCATTGCAACTCTTCTAGAATCATTCAATGAGAAACACAAACCAACTGCAAACTTGACTGTCGGGGCTCGAGCTCTGTCAAAGCATTGCCACAGGGATGTGACCAGTGAATGGTGGGGTGCCTGTGCTGGCAGTGAGCAGGCGAAGAATGAACATGCTAATGCAGTTGTAATGCGTATACTGGGCAACGCCTCATGGATTAATATTCATATGTTGCCGCATGACCTTAAGGTTATTGAGGTAAGATGTGCCGAGGGTTATGGAGCAAGATGGAGTTATGATGGAAAAGTCTTCCGTGGTTTTCTGGAGCCTCAAATGGAGGATGGTCATGCTGCAGGATGGAAACACTGATCTTGTATGTTACATGATGCAGTTCCAGAAAACATCCCTACCCACCAACCGCCCTAAGGAAAGTTAACAGATATTCCAAGGGGGAGGGGTTTCAAAAGCCAAAATTTTTAAAGGAAATTATGAAGCTAAACTGGAATTTTTAGAAGGGTGGGTTGGAGGTTCAATCTACTTTCTGTGGGAGGGTTATCAAACCGTATGGATGTTTTCTAGCTGGAACAACATATTTGTATACAGACTCTTAGGAAAGAACTACAAATGGAGGGGTTCTTTATAAAGTACCTTTCTCAGAAGAGGATGTGGATTCCTCCACTGAAGCAGACCTCCCAACTCTCCCGGTTTTCCCTGGAGTCTCCAAGTTTTTCATCAAATCTCCCGGTCTCCCGGTTGGAGCACCAAATCTCCCGGGAACTACCTGTTGTGGCTCTTGTTAATTTTTTTTTATTAATTTCGTTATTTTCGAGACGTCGGGAACGTTCGGAAGGCCTTCGGGTGATTGTCGGAGAGTATTCAGACATTGTCGAAAATTATATTCTTATAATGCAAAGATTTCTAACTGTCTCCAGGTTTTTGTACTCTGGGGGTTGGTAGGTATGCTGAAGTCTCCTTTGAAAATGTATTAAACACCGCATCTCATTTAGTGCATAATTCTGAGAGATGACATAGAGATGACACAATTTTGATCAATTTCAAGCCAGTTTTTTAGATCATATTGGTAACATCATAGGCATGTCTTGAATTTTCTTTGTAAGAAAATAAACCCAAGTTTGAACAGTCGCAATATCTGTCGCTTGATATCAATTTTTTCTATTTTCTGACAAGTGTGATAAAGCGTTGTCTTTGCACTTCGTGTCAAACGTTACGACGCCTAATTGAAGCCGCTGGCCTCAAACATCGCAGGCATTTTTCGGCATTCCACTTGACAACCGGACGCAATGTTAAACAGAGACGTTATATGTAGGCATACACGAAGGATTACTCTTTTCAAAGCTGTAACCCTCTCAGTATGGGATCATGGCTGCCCGAATTTACATGTTTTTAATATTTTTTACCGGCGTTTTCTCCAACGATCGCCAAGTGTCTGGACACAGAATTGTAACAGTCGCCGACTACAACATATGGAATGTTATGTTTCAGTGGGAAACAAGAAAACAGTTCATCGCAGAAATGGTAATCAGTCTTGAAGCTTTCTGTAAAATTTTTCGTTGATATGAATAATTTAGAGTTTTTAATATTCCTCCACGTCCTGCTGAGCTGTTTGTGTTATACATTTGTTCGATTTAAAACGTCGATTTTCTAAGTTATGTCGCGAAATTTGTGTATAAAGTAGATCTAATTTAAGTACCGTTTGGTAATCGCTCCACTGGAAAAAAAATATGAAATATTTGGGACCTGCTGCAAAGGAATTTTAAGTTGTCTTGAATTTACTTTTCGAATTTTATCTTCCGATGTTTCAACCTGGTCGAGTTCTGAACGGTAAATAGTTTGTAAATTTCGTGCTAAGTCATGCAAGCAGTCTGGGAAGCTGACAACAGCCGATAAAAGAATTTAAAATGAAATTCTTAATTAGTATTTGATGTTATTTTGAGTGAGAGAACACTCGGAATAAGCTCTTGATTTTGTTTTGAAAAAATTTCTTACTGCTGTAAATAAGTGTTTTTGTCACTGAAGAGTTATCTACTGGAGAGAATGGCCTGTTTTGAGTAGCACTGGGATTTTCTGCGTTTCAAAACACTGCCCGATAGTTCTTCAGCAAAACCTCAAACAAGTTCCAGCAGTAAATTGATAGCTTTACCCAAGGCGACTGAATGGAGTTGTCATTAACCTATCTTGTCCGCTTAATCCCTTGGCGGTCTCTATTGCCTCACTATGCACAAAGTCTGGTAAAGAACAGCCAAGTGCTCTTTGGTGACATCACTGTTCATTATAGACCCCCAACTCTCCCCTGAGCTGAGACCCCCTAGGGACCAGTGTGTCATCTAAATGTATGGCTAGCCCAAGGAACAGGCAAGATGAACCAAATCTTGCACTGTGATTGGCTTCCCAAGTGGGCATAATCAGGCTACTTTCCCACCCCTCCCATAGTCAAGAATAAAATGTGTCTATCCCACAGTGAACGTACTACTTGGGGTGGGGAAGATCTTTCAAATTATAGTTCCTGTAACTATCACATGTAACATTTTAATCTGGCAAATGGTGTTCTAGAATCTCATGTAAAGGGGAGATCGGAGTATTCATCGTAAGATCATCTTTTAAACATGTTTGATACTATATTATCTTGATATATTTCAGATAAATCAAGTCAATCCAGATGTGATCGGTTTCCAAGAGGTGCGGACCGATGCAAAGGACCAAAGAAACCAGCTAACAGAGTTGCAAGAGTTAATTCCACAGTATAAACATCTTGTTTATCACCCAGTTGCCATGGTTACACCTCCACTAGGTCAACAAGTGCCACCAGGGTGGGAAATGGAAGGTCTGGGACTGCTCAGTAAACATCCCATAATAATGAGTCACATTGTGAACCTTACTGTTGGTAAAGGGAGTGTCGATCGAAACAAACGAGTTGTCCTTCATGCTCAAGTTGACATTGACGGAGATGAACTGGACATCACAGTGGTTCACTTTTCTTACGACAAAACTCAACAATGTCAAAATGCTATTGATGTCATCAATTATATTGCATCCATAGGAAGTGAACGTTCGGTGCTTGTGGGAGATTTCAATGTGTACAATGATTTTCCTTGGCCAGTGGATGGCATCTCAAAAGGATCTTTTGACAAGCAGGGGTCATGTGATACTCCACCTTATTTTAATCCTCAAGGTTCTAACCAAGGCTACGGCTTTGTGGATGCCTGGGTAACAGCAAATGGAGATCATAGAGGATATACTTTCAGTAACATGGTACGTGGAACTTGTCTTACAAAGCACTGCACAACATTTGGACAAAACATTACATTTTTTGTCCAAATTAGTGTGGAATTGCCCACACCATGGGTTAAATTGTTGATAAAAGTTGTAGCAAAAGTTGGAGAACATGGTAGAATTGAGTTAACTCTCTGTTATCACTCGCAATTTAAATTGTTGAATTGTGCATGACACAGCCACCCATAGAATCGTCTGTAACAAAAGTTGCAAGAAAACCTGAGACAAATAGCTTAAAGACTGAATTATGTGACAGGATAACGTAACAATAGTCAATAGCGTTTCCATCAAGGGCCTATGGGTGTATATATACTGTAGGCTATATTGGAATTTTTATTTAAAACATTTTTTAAACTAAACATATTTTCTTTGCAGCCAGAACCAGGACCAGTGAGTCGACCAGACAGAATACTTGTTTCATCAACTGGTCTTCAGGTCATATCAGCTGAGATTCACGGAGACGGAAAAACCTATCAACAAAAGTACAGTTTGCAAAATAAATGGCAACGACTCAAGATGACATTTCAGATGGCAAAAGAGACTGCATATGGTCCACATTTCAAGTACACATGCCACCAAGACTGCGGCCCTCATGGATCTTGTCGATGTGGTGTTTGCGTCAAAGGAGGAGATCAAAATAACTGTGAATTACCATTTTGCCAGGAATGCGATGCTGAACATTACAACAGCTTTGTATTGATTGGTGTTTTATATGCGACTTCGGTGGTGTTTATCTTGTACATACTTCTCAAAGTACTTCTAAAAAAGTGTTTTAGTAGGACAAGACGATTGAACAGTAGGGTGCTATTTTTGTGTTCAAACAGAATGTTGGGATTATCTGTGATCTCTCTAATGATCGCTCTTTATTTCATTACCATGTCGTCCCTTGGAGACACTTTGGAAACTGTAAATGGAAGAATTGCAGAAGAGATGTTTCCTTCCGATCATATGATGGTGGTTACAAAGTTAAAATTTACTTATAGATGAGACAAACTCAGTTGACAGGCAAGTGGCGGAAAGCCATAGAAGTTTCAGAGTTTGGATCATGTGTACTAAAAGCATTTGCAGTCAAGTGTCAGTCGATGCCTTTGATTGATACTCAATCGACACTCCAACACTCTATCGACATCACATTGAATACTCGATGGACACACGATCGACACTCAATTAACAGTTGGTTGATAGTTGGCAACCAACTCATATTTATCAAACGACACCCGATGGTGTGTGTGTGAAAATTTATTGACTCTCGAATGACAGTTGATTGAGTGTTGACTGAGTATCGATGAAGATGTCAATTGAGTGTTGATTGAGATGTCAATGGAGTGTCGACTGAGGGTCAAACAGGGGTATCGATCGACACTCATCCATGGAGGCCTTAGGCACACATGATCCCAGAGTTATACTAGAGCCTTAACAGTTGTTTCCTTGTTACCATGGACACATCTAGTTTCTTAACACAATTGCCAGAATGTGAGAAGATATTATGACTTGGAATACTTGTTCTGTCAACTGAATCAGAATGGATACCCTTAGCCCTATAAATATTATAAAACTATGTCGTTTTTATTCTGTAGTAAAAGTGATATTTGTACAATGGGTGTTATTTGAAGTTGACGCAAATTTAATGATATTCCCTTCAACATTATTTATTTGGAACCTGTGGAAATTAATATTATGAAAAACTGACATATCTTCCAGCTGTTTCTAATATTATTGTTGCAGAAGTAAATGTTAGAAATGTGGTTTGAAAATACTGGTTTCTTCATGTACTGGTTTCACATCTTGTGCATAAATATTTGATATCTTGCAATAAAGGTACATGTTTTTGTGGAGACTTCAATGGACAGTTGTTTGCATCAAGTGGCACCATGCAACACTTAGACAATTTTACTGTTTCAGTCCACACAAAGAAGTTCTGTTGCAAACCAAACATTTCACAAGCAAGGGCTTCTCTCTCCACATTAGAGTTGTTGGTGTTGATGTTCATGCCTCATAGATTCCATGTATTACACGTACCATGTACTTCTCAGGTTTCTAACAATCACTTAACAGCATTGTATTCTACAGACTTTGACGGGTCAGCTGGAAACTTCTTTTGGCAAAAAGTCATCAGTCGCTTCAGTCCCTAAAACAGAACAGAAATGGTTAATAACGGCACTAGTGTACATGTATGCTAAGGAAGTCCTTCCTGATAGACTGGCTATTGTGTATTTCCTTGTTGTGTTTGGGGCTTTTCCTTTTCTTTACCCCTACGGCATGGTTCAGAGGAACATGGACATGGACTCAGTAAATTTACTAAATATTAAATATTTTGATATCACTCAAATTATTTAAACTTCTAAATTGTCAGTTCTTTGTGTGGCTTCTGAATGGTAATAAATTCTTTCAAGCTGTATTAAATTATTTTTACTGTTATAATAATACGAGCTATTAATACCTGGATATATTTTCTTTGTGTTTCATCATTGAGAACGTCTGACACAGAAGTTAAAGAATTTTATTCAATTTCAACAGCTTCAAGCACAAAGCATTGTAAGCGTAGCAGTGATTTGTTGCTGTTGTTGTTTATGTGTACTGTGGGGGTGATTTTGGTTTGAGGATAATTATGCCTGCCTGGTTTGACCATCTAGAGAAAAGATTCTCTTATATTTAAGAAGTTCAGTTCGAAACGTTCCTCTCGCCTGTGAAAACTAGTTGTGCCCTGAAAGTTTTCTTTATAAATCAAAATTGTCTCTTGGACACTTGTTTTGAAAAGTCAAAAGTCAAAACAGTGACTTTCAAAAAGGATACGAGCAACATTCTGTGCAAAGATCTTCTCTCTTCCTGTTCGAGCGTGAATCCCCACCATGGTCACTCCAATTGGCCAAGGAGCATTTCCTATTGCCATCTGAAGATATGAATCATTTGCCTGGAGAACAATAAATAAAGGCTGCATTAAAACTGAAAACATTTAAATGTTAAAAAACAATGTTGTTTCAGTCATAAAGTCCCCATAATAATTTTGAACTACATATTAAAAGCATGTAACCTCGCACCTTAACATACTCTCTTTCTAGAAGACTCATAATGATGGTAGTCAAGGCACCAAGAATATCCCGAGGTGTTTTCTGTTGACAAAGAATTACTATTTGAAAATTAACATTGCTATAATAATTATGTAAGGGTAAATCATGTCTGCAAATTAAAGATATCACCTTCTAATCCATTTTTTCTAGCCTCTGAGTCAAAACAAGTCTTCATATGAAACCATCAACATGAAAATGTGTTTCACATGTTCATTCATTTTCATGTACATTAAGCCAACCTCATTTTCATTAGGGAAATTTGCAGGATGACTCATTTGAAACTTGGAAATGGCCCATTAAATCATACTGACCATGTGTGCAGATAGTTTGCTTCAAGTTGTTATCTTCCCAGCTGACTAGCCTGTCTGAGTTATTTCAAGAGGTAGACAGTGTTTTTACTAGAGTTAAGCAATTAGAAGCCAACAACATTCACAAGTACCAGCTCTATGACTGACAGCAAGAACATTTGGCAACGTTATAGAAACAAATATATTGTACTTTACCATCTTTTAATTACCTTATGTTTCAGTTTTCTTAATAACGGCTTCAGGTATGATTCTGTCTGCCTTTGAGTGGCACCTGCCAATTTTGCCTATTCAGATGAAATATAGATAATCGTAAACTATAAAGTGAAAAAGAGCAACCAGCAATTTTTATATTTACTGTCATATATTTACAGTTAATAGATTTAAAACACCTGTGCCCAGTATTTACCTCTAAACTTCTTTTGCTATCATCAGATCTGGTTTTGTAATCCTTTGCCCAAAGACCAAGAAGAAACTAAGGATAAGCAAGAATAAGCAGAAATCAGATTGTTACTAATCTGCTACCCAATCTGTTATTCACGAAAATATCCATACCGAAAGTCTTAACTTTCCTTAAAGATTCTGGAATTTGAGACCCCCCACCTGCATGGAATTTCCAAATTATATTAAATGATCTTCCAAAGGGAAGAGGTGGTTGGGGGGTGAAGGGGTGAGAGAGACAGTGAGTGAGAACTGCACATAGCTGGCTGCCACGGAAAATCGCCATCTACTTTATCATCTCAGCTGGCTACTGTAGCATCTGCTGATCTGTTCCTCTGATTTGCTACAAAAAGATGGTGTAAACAGCCACAAACTGCTTCAACAAATTATAAAGCTGCCTTCTAAAGTTTGTGACAATGACCACCAGTAAGTTAATAGGTCATCTCAAGTTAACTCAAGATCTAATTCAGTTTGAAAGACCTCATGACAGACACTTTTAATTATAATACCAACAATTAAAAATGCTTGATTGAACAGTGAAATAATTTGTAAAAAGCTCTGACTGGAAGTACTACAAGTAATTACCTGTATAAACTTCAAGATAACATCTTGATCCAGGTTTTCATCTCCCTGACCCATATTTTTGGCCAAATCCTATAAGTACAAAGTATTAGTAGTCAGAACCTGGTTACAAGTTCACAGAGTGGATTGGAACGGTTTTCAACTGAGAGTCGTAAATCAAAAATGAAAGTCATTGTGCTAACCAATCAGAAAGCACAACTCACATTAATTGGTGAAACATGAAGGAAAACTATGTGTGGGTCAGTCATAACTGAATTTGGTTTAACTCAGTTTTGATTGGTCAAGAAAATGGCACATGCTTTTCTTATCAATCAGAACCGTCAGAATCTTTTTACCTTGATATCCTCCAGTGTCGTTCCATCATCTTCAATTTGTGATGACTCTTCGCTTTCTGAACCTTGTTGTTCACCACCCTATGTAAAGTCATTTGGATGTAAATTGACAAAAATGAAATTTTAAGTTAACTATATTGAAAAATTATACTTGAAACACACTGATCTAAAAGTTCAAAACAGATACACAGTAATCAAATTTTTGTCTCATCCAGTATTGAGGGATATCTAGGTCAAAAATTATTGGGACGTGGGAAACTCAAACCCCACCCTCTCATAGCTTCTTGAGTTTAATAATTACAGACTATGGGCATTCATTTGGGACATACCTGTTGTTTGATTAACTCTGCTAAGTATTCTTGATCAATCTTTTCCATGGCTGCTTTGAAGTCATTCCTCAGACCCTGATACACAAAAGATTACTAACATTGCTTAGGCTTCAATTTACAGATATACCAAAAGGGCCGAAGTTTCCCATGAACCCTACTAATTATTGTGCTCAAATGTGCCGCCTGTTTTATCATACTGAAATCAAAAAATACTTCCTCAAGAAGAAAAATGAACTCTTGACTGTATATTTTTCTCTCACCATTGGGAAAATCCTGCCTTCAGTGGGCCATTCAATTTTTTTTTTCTTTTTACTAAAAACTATTTTCTATACTTTTAACTTGGCAGGCATTTTCTTTGTTTCTTTCATGTTCTCAATGCTCTTGAGTTATGGACACACATTGCAATGTACCTTGTTAATTTCTGGAGCAAGCATCTCAATTCTCCTGTAGATAACAACAGCATTACATCAGGGCACATTACAAATTTGAAGTAAACACGGCAAGAACTTAAAGAGAAGAAAAGATCTATAAGAAATGAACCTGATGCAAGTCTCACAACACAAAGACCTGATAGAGCTTCACCTTTGTCCACTGAAAATAATAACTCTCTTAACATTTAGTTTATATTTCTGGTTCCTTGAGAAGGGGGTGACCAGTGCTGAATTTTTTTTTTTTTGGAGGGGAGGTGAGGTGGGCCTTCTCTTTACCGGCTACAAAAACTACATCTTCTGTTAACCTTAGTCTTTGACAAGCCTCGTCGTCACTTTCACCAAACAATCGGATTGGTTCTCCTCTTTCCCTTAGTCTTCGAATGACCTTTGAATCAGAAACAAGATTGAAGTCTGTTAATTGTCATTTATTCAAAAATACATGTACCATAAGCGAGNAAACTCTCAGAGCTCTTTTTTACTGATCAAATTTTGCAGATCCAGTTGTGGAGTGAGAGAGATCACGAGATCATAATGCAAGCATCGCTTGGTAATGGTTCACGCTCAGAAAACGGCACCAGTGAAGTCTGCCTCGATGTTTCCTTCATTACAGCCGTAATTCTTGTATCCTTGACATCTTTTCTCTTCATCTTGTCTTCCATCACGTTGACTGTTTATTACAAATGGCGTCTGTGCCGCCACATTGTCGAAACACGGATCGGTATTGTCATCTTCTTCCTTGGAGCCTTGCTCACTGTTATTACGACGCTAAGTTCCTATACAGAGAAATCAGTTTATACAGTGTATCTTTTCTTTTTGCTGATCTTCGTTGGAATGGTGGTGCTTCTTGCAGGAAGCGCTGTGTTATTCGAGAACGCTTCTCCCGATGGATCAGGCGACTACAGCCATGAACGACTTCCAGTTGGTCATAAGCATGGCAGTGTAGGATTAATCATATGGGTTGTGACTGCTCCGTTATGTCTCTTGGAACTGCTGTTCGCTGTGTGTGCAGCGAAACATGGACCATTCGCAGCATATGCCCCTTTTATGTACATAGCGCTGGTGCAAAAGGTCATCCAGGCCAAAGTATACCACTTTAGTTTGCGTCACAAAGTTGCCAAACGTGATATGCGTATGGGATGCTCTTGGCTCCTGAAGATAATTTCCGTCTTCAATTTTGCTTTCTGGATCGATTGGATAGCAACATCACAATCGGATAATGACTTTGTAGACCATCTCTTTGGCAATGGATTTTCCATCGTGAAGGCTGCGTACAACGCCCTTCTCATCGACTACAGACTTATGTGTGGTCTTCTGTTT